CGTTAGGTCGATTTGAAGAACTTTTTTGAACCTTCGATATACCAGTAGACTCAGTAGATGTTATACAATGTATCCACTTTGGCTTTTCTGCCCTCGATGATCTCTTATAACGCTCCATAGATGGGCACCCGAATAAAAAACGAGGACCGGAGGGTACTCAACGCAGTGAAGGACTGAGTTAGGAGATGTTACTTCAGCTTTTACCGGACCACCCAATAACCACGAAGTAGTTGCGGTGCGGTTCTGATAGGGCCACTTCTGCGGAGGAATGATAGAAGAAAATCGGTCCACGATTACTCACACTTCATCCAGTTTTTTTCTATCCCACATCGGTTCCACTTCATCACTGCAGGATTGGATCATCGTCTATGGTTTTCGCACTCGTCATTTCGCCCGTGGGTGGCGTTGGTAAGTCGCGGGGAGGGAGCGTCCAACGACGCTACGCTAGTCCAAATTCCATTTGAATCGTAAAGAATGGCGACCGCTTCTTTGGCGGAACCTCCGGTGAAATTGAAAGCGCTTCATCGAAACCGGTTCTCGCCTAGACCAACCGCGTTCAAAAATCGCCCTGATAAAGTGTGATGGTGGCTGTTCAGAGTTGAGCTGTTTGACAGCGCTACCCCCCCCCCCTTCTCCTCACCACCACCATCCCATTAGCGATCATTTTTAATGGAATATATCCGAAAGCCGCTAATGGAAGGAGAACCGAACTGAGGATGAAAACAGGCGAAAAAAAGTTCTCAGAGTGTTTTCGAGATTCGATGGATTTCTCGATAGCGTCCCAACCAGAACTTTGGTTCAAGTCACATTCTCATTGAGTAAATGTATGAACCCTCCATATTGCAGCACAGTTAAACTTCTTGGCCACTTCAATACACCAAAAACCACACTGAACACTCCAGCTATCGTAATTTGAAAAATCATTTCATTTATTTAATTTATTTATTTATTTATGCGTTCAATGACGCGGCTTAATGAGCATTTTGGTTGTACGCGAAATCATTTTGCACACTCAAGAAAAGACAAAAAAAATTTAAAATTT